CATAATCAAAGAGTTGGTAATCTCCTATTGGTCATAACCCGGGTCAATTGTGCTGGGTGCCTGTATCCGGTCATCTACATACCTCATCTTCCCTCTGTTCTTCAAAAACATAGTCAAACTCTGCGACCACGCGAGATAGTTCTGACCATTAAATAGAGAGGTAGTGATTTTAAGAGTAGGGTTGGGTTATCAGTCATAATAGTAGGTATATGGAAACTCTCACTCCTAGGTGTCGGAAAAGTAGTGGACACACCGGTGAAATCTGCCATAGATACTATACTATTGAACTCTCAACAAAACTAGTGCCAATCACAAACTCGGAAGGTGGAGGAATACAAACACAATGACCACTAAGAAAATTAAAGACTTAAAAACTCATCAAACTTTTTTTTTTTCCCTTACTGTAATTTTTTTTTCCCCGTACTGTATTTTTTTTATTTTTTTTGGAGTTAAAGATTAAAGAGAAAAACGAAGCAGAGGTTGAGTTGAATACAGACCACAAACAGAATGTAACTCAGCGATACATTATCACGTAACTCAGTTATACATTATCACGAAGGGAGAACAAAGACAACAGAGACAAACGACAGGAACAGACGACAACGATGCACCATTTCGCGTCACTCACCGACAACGCTAAGGCCAGGAGGCATGACAGGGCTAGGAGAGCCCTATGCAGCCGAGGACTGGCTCTGTGGTGGCTTTGAGTTTGACGACTAGCTCTATGAACTTTGAGTATGACGACTGGCTCTGTGACGAGAACCAGAGGGGTGTGACAACTGTATGGGTGAGGAATTTAGGGTTTAGGGTTAGGCTTTCATACCATGTTATTTTGGAGGATTCCAAGATTAGGGAATGATTAGGATATCATCCTCTATTTATATTAATGAAGTTAATTATTACAAGGGAATCCCTAAGGTATAAAATAATTACAAAACAATAACTAAAATAATAATATATTATTCTAACAATGAGCTGTAGTGATTTTGGGGATTGAGTTAGATAAACATGGATTTAGAGAAATTTATTGATAAAGATGTTTGATCAACATTATATCAGATAGTTTTAGCAAAACTTAGATTAAGCTGACTACAAATGGATTTTGTGGAGAGTTAAAGATATAGAAAAGCTTCCAGACTTGGAAATTTTAGAAGGTGATAAAAAAATAGTGAAAAAGATCTTAGAAGGTGGCGGACAATGTCTTAGTTGCAATACATGACTCACACTTAGAAGGTGGCGGCGACAACCCGTGTGGTAGCTTTTCATTAACCAGCTTCTAAAATCTCTCAGAAGTTGCTTAATTTCCCGTGAAGAATCCTTAAATTCAGTGACTTGATTTCCTTGACACTCTTACCAATCATTGCATTTATAATTCCAGCCTCTTTACTTTGTATTTCAAAAGCCATCCACCCAGAAAGGCATTAACTTTGCTTCCTTTAGGGGTATGATCAACTTCTTCCCTGAAAGGATGTAAAGTCAATGTTTTCTTACCCTTTTGAAATAAGTATTGTCTTTAGTGTGGTGGACAATTTCTTTATCATATAACCATGTCATCCCTAACATTATTGCTGCACCTGGATTTTGATACTCAATTGTTTTTAGGAAGAAAATCAAAGGCTAATGTAACAAGAAATATTTTCCGACAGCTGACTTCAAGATTTATATTTTATTTGAATTAGAAGTTGCCACCAAACATTGAATTTGGGTATGCTAGGTCACCCCAAAATCAGTTTTTCAAGAAAGTAGTTTTGAGTTATTTTAAAAAAGAAAAGAAAAGAAACATGCTAGTTAAGCATGTTTTACTATGGTGACATCCATTTTGGTCTATGTGAATCACGAACAGATTCAGGGAAAGGGGGGGTTTGTTGCTACAAGCTTATGAGTGGGGAAGGTATTAATAGTACTGAATTCTCTGAATATATGAAATGATAATAAGAATTTTGCCAGAGATGTATATAGGTTGTGACGTCTAAGTCACATGCAAGGTATGCAAAGAGTGTGTCAATCACAGTTGAGTGTGATAGTGTACAAGGGTAATAGTATGCAAAGAGGTGTGTTTGATCATATATTCGGACAACTAGAGCTATATGGGGCGAAATAATAATTATGAGCAATAAAATGGTGGGATAGTGCAACAAGCTGCGACCTCATTAAACCTTCGACAAAAATCAAGGAGCATGTCCAAAGGGTGGAGCTACATTCGGTCGAGTTGGGCAATTTCTCTTACCTGTAGTTTGAAATATTTTTTCCAAATTGCCCCACTAAATTTTAAAAATATTATACCTATGATTGTAAAATTTATTTTCAAAACTACCCCAATTATTTTTTAATTGTATCTATATGCTAAATCTAAGGAGAAATGATTGAGACGTTTTTGAATATTTTCATAGTTGTTATTTAGTACATTCGAACATAATTGGTATCGTTTTTTTTTTTTTTTTTTTCAAAGGGCAGAAAAATGGAAATCGACACAGAAACATGTTTGATAAACTATTTTTGAAAATTGTTACTGGAATTTTTTTCTGAATACAACTAAGTTACATGGACGCGGGTACGGGTGTCGGGTGTGGGTGCGTATCTAAGGATCGGACACTTCAAAATTAAAAATTGGAGATACATGGATATGGATCTAAATTTGGATACGGGTACGGGGATACGTTAAATAGTTATTTTTTAAAATATATTTATTATACGAAGATGAGTTAAAAAGTTAAGAAATAACAAATTTTGTTAAAAAAATAACTAACAAATAAAATATAAATAATAAATAAAAATTATTTTAGACATAAAATAAATTACATTATATTTGATAAAATAAATTATTTTTATTTTAAACATAAAAATTATAATATTTATAATATACAATATTTTTTTGAGTAAATATTATATAATATGAATACTATTATATATTATTATATTAATATATCATTTATAAATAAAAACTAGAGAAAGAGAAGGGAAAGGAAGAGAAGACGGTCAAAGAAGAAAAGAGAGAGAGAGAGAGGAGAAGAGCAGAAGATAGAAGAGACACAGAGAGAGAGAGAGAGGTCGAGACCAGAGGGGAATCGAAGCCCTAGGATGGAATCGGCTATGAGATGTTGGTTTTCAAATCTCCTTCGATTCGGTCTAGTTCGCGACTAGAGTTCGCACTTCGATCGTGCCTCGCGACTCGACTTGCTTCGCAAAGGTGAGTTTCAGCCCCCTCTCTCTTTCTCTCTTTCTCAACAACCCTTCTTCTTTCTCCTCTCATGTTAGCCGTGTCTAAGAAAACCATGCCGAATCTGACACATATCTCACACCCGCACCCGTGTCGTGTCGTGTCGTGTCGACACGGGTAATCTACCCTAAACTGGAGAGTCCATGTAACACAGGAATACAATACTTCTTTAGGAAACACTTTTAAGTTGATTTTTGAATTTTGAAGTTTGAAGTTTGTTTTTGCATAAAAATTGAAAATATGTATCTTTTTGAATTATTATTATTTTCTTTTTAAAAAATGAAAATTGAAAACGATACCCAACATGGTCTATCTACACATATTTATGGTTTAAATTAGGACAAACTTAGGAGATCATTTTTATTAGCGCTTAAAATTATTTACCTTTTCAGTTGTCAAATATAATGCATGGTTCTAGGTACTGGACAAAAAAATAATAGCTCTGCCTTTGAGCACGTCTGCCCCCAAAATTAAAACAATTGAAAATCAAGTAATATATTAGGAGCAACTGCTGAAGATAATGATTTGTATCTTGACTCTCTTGAACATGCACCTTCTTTCTTTCCATATACAGCGTAGAAAGTGGAACAATTCTTCTATACATCACCTCACTAGTCCACTATAAACATAATCCAGTGAACCCCAAAAGGGTCAAAAGCAGACAACCATATATCTGTAAGCACAGAGCATTGCAGCGAAAGACAGTGGAAAAATTTATCTGCTGCTTTCGACCATACAAATGAATTGAGAAGTTTACCCCTCATGAGTGATGGTGTCTGGGGTGGCCGGAACAAAAGGTGATCTAGGAAGATGGTAGACGCTTAGCTGGCCAGGGACCACCGGAGCTGGATGTGGAAGAGGAGAGAGTGGGGCACTCTTTAGAAGAAACAGGGTCACAGCGGAGATCTTCTTATCCAAGGAAAGGAAAGAACTCCTTATGGCTCCACTCTTCAATTTGAAAATATAAAGTAATCTCCCCGACAATATCAATGCCAAGATTGGTCAATTATCTTCTGTCTCAACTATATCAAAATGATCTTTGATAGTATCAAGAGCACAATTCACTTGCCATGACACAAATGTCAGGTATATGAGATGTACACATCAAGTTGTAGGTGCAGGTTGCAGGTCGTGGGTATATCACGTGTCTTGGCAAGATCATGTAAGACTGGTCAAGTATACTCACTTGGGAATTTGATGATTTCTCAACTGTGGCCTCCAAACCACAAGTCGTTCGATGATCCTGAGTGGAGACCCTAGATCCTATTTGTAGCCTAGGTTATTCTGGAGTGAAGTGTAAGTTGGGAACTGCGGATTGTGCGTGAAGCTAAGTATAAGTTGGAGATCCATGGATTACATATGACAGTGGAGTGAGGTCGTGAAGATGAGATCCTTGTAGTGAGATCTTAGAGGTGAGATCCTGAGAGTGAGATCTTGGAGATGAGATCCTATTGATGTCACACTTAGTGCCTAGACTTAACAAGATATGTGGAAACTCGTCATTGGCCTATGTGTTGCCTTGCAAAGCTGCCTTGCAAAGCTGTCACATGGTGCCAACTGATTTGCAGGAAAGTGACATGGAGTTGATGTGGCGGTGCCAAGTAATGATCTGGACAAATATACCTACACCTCTACACACCAAATTATCAATCGTCAATGTCTTCTCAAAAACGTCTGTTTGTGCAAAAAAAAAAAATTGCTTGTTCCTCAAAGAAAAAGAATTATTTTAAATTCCTCCAATTGGCAATGTACTAACAATACTCATCTGTTGAGACTTGTGCAGATTCTTGGAACAAGCATGACTACTAAAATGTGGGAAGTTACTGTGGACCATGCTCGAACATGTACACTTGATAACAGGTTGCACCTCTATTTTCCTATCAATTCTCAGAAAAAGACTGGTGTGGTTTTTAATGCTGTGGGGCAAGTGATGGGACTACTTTTAGATTATTGTTACATTCTAATTGATAACCTCCCTGAACTTCAAAAGGCATGCTTCTCTTATCACATAAATCTTCATTCATTGCTAATTTTCTATCTCAGTCATTTCCAACCCCTTTCTGCTTGATTTGATTTGATATCAGGCTGATGCCCACAAGTTGGTGTTATCTGCATTTGAACACATGGACAAAGTAGTGTCTTTTGACAATGAGACTTCTATGCTTGCCTTTTTGTGGCGACTAGCTTACTCAAACTCACCCTGGTTGGAGAGTCTTGGTGGCTGTTATGTAGACACTGATGATGGATATGACCACATACAACCAAGTACCTCTTCCCACGCCAATGAAGTATTCTCTTTTGATGATGAGACTTCACTTATGCACGACGCTTTGCAATTATCCTCTGCTGCTTATACATCTAACTCACTCAGTTTGGAGAATCCTAACAGTTTCAATTTTGAAACTTCTCACTTCAATGATGAATGTATCCAACCAAGCACCTATTCTCCGGGCATCAGTTCATTTTTTCTATCTTATGGAAGTACAAGTAATTGGAATGAATATGGCTTGCATGGAGCTGGAAATGAGGATCATTTAGATGACCAGGCTTTTGGTTCCCCAGGAAATTTCGTTAACCCCTTGTTCTGTTATGCAGAGTCCATAAATCAGTCCTGTGAGGATGAGCATTTGCCGTCTTTTGACACTGATCATTCTGTTCAATATCAGAACTCAAATTTTGAATCCCAGGGTGATCTGCAAAGCATTGTGAATGGTTTTCTGTCCCGTGCTGCTGTTGCTCGGAGAAGTTGGACACTGTTATTTGGTGTGCTGAGATGGTATTCAAGAAGGAAGATTGCCGCGTTGAAGTTTGTTTCTTCAGAAAAGATCCATGCTACAAAAAAGTCGAGAATCTACTGAATGCTTACATTGAAGTGCAAAGCATAAACATTGGTATGCTCTTGGTTGTCTGTATAATTATAGGATGTATTTTTTTAGTGCTAAGCATAAGAACTGCTATGCTCTCGGTTGCATGTATAATTCTAGGATATGTGCTGCCCAATTGAAAATTGTGTGCAGTGTTAAGACTTTCATTAAATGTACAACTTGTTTTGAGGTTCAAAGCTGTTTGCTAGTGATATTAGTGCGTGCTCTTCTTTTGACTAAATTGTTGACATGTTAAAAATAATAATTTTATTATTTTTTGTCAGGCATTGTTTGTTGCACCCATTCTCCCACTCTTTCGTGCTCTCTACCATCTCTTCAAAGTTCAAACATTCAGGAATGAGCTGTCACTCCCACTTCATACTAAATGTTCATAAAATACACATTATATATATAATTTATTTACTAAATGTTTAAAAAAAAATTCACCAAATATACCAAACTAAGTTATATGTAAAAAATTGTAAGATGGAATCTATCCCAAAAGAAAATTTTATCACTAACTTTAATTAAAAAAAAGCATTACAAAACCCTTTTAATGCCCTTCTTCACTGTGGTTTTGTATATAAATTTGAGTCTAGTTTTTCATTCTCCTAGACTTTTTTAATGTTACTGACGCTATTTGAAGTGAATTTGTGAATAAGTCCTGGATTTTTCCTTCTCCATAGTTATTTTCATGGATATCAAAGATTAGGGTTTTAATTTCACATAAGGGTTCAAACTCTCTGAAATTAGGAGGGGGGGAGGAAGTTGCGTTGAGTTGAGATTGAAAAAAAATTGGCTAACCCTAAAGGATAAAAATCATGGTGCCGCCACTGTCTAAAAGTAAGGGTTTGGTATGGTGGATGACATCTAAAAGAGGGAGGGGTATGTTTGGGGTTCCATTCTTCTTGTCTCCAAAGGAGTCTCTGTAGTGTATACACACTGGCCAAGGGCTCTCAAACACAGCTAGTAAGTGGAGTTGTATTCTTAACCAATTCAGCCAAGTTTACTTTCATGAAATGCCAATTCACCTCACTTTGCCATGCCCAGGTTGATGTTGCGCCTTTGTTACTGACTCGCCAAATTTTCTAACACTGTTTGCACATTTTCCTACCGATATATGCTAGTTATCATGTTGAAGAAGGTTTGAAGTCTGGAACAAAAATGATTGGTGCTTTGGGAAGAGACTTGAAGAGCTGTAAGGCAATGTTGCCAACTACCTAACTTTTGCTGAATAGAGACCACAACAACAGGTATGCAACTGTAAGGAAAAGAGAGATGTTTTCCAATTCATGTTGTCAAACTTCGTAGAATGCTCGTGGATGATATGCATAGAGTGCTCATACACACACGGTGATGTTGGATCAAGTTTTTGTAACCATCATGAGAATGTGTGGGAGCTCCTGTTGTTAAATTCCATATTTGAGTCTCATATATGCAGTGATTTGTTGCTTTTCCTTTTCATCTTGGTCATTGTTCTAACTTTCGAAAGATGGTTAGCACAACAATGTTTAGTCTAATGAAAATTTTGTATACAAGTCATTGTTGAACTATTTATTTGTGCCCAGTGAGCCTAGCATGTACTATGATTTAAATTTAATGGTAAAACTTGAACCCATGCATTACACCCAGGGGCAGAGCTATCAAAGGGCAGGGGGTCACGTGCCCCTCTTGGGTTTTGTAATTTTTTTTTTTAAAGCAAATATAAAGAAAATATTTTAAATAAAAAAAATTATAAAAATATTATTTTAAATGTCAATGACATTTTTAAAATAATAAGAATAATAATGGTTATTTTGAATGAAAATAAAGTGATTACGATATTATTATCTATGAAAATTTCAATGTAATGGTGATATCTATTACTATTGACATGCAAATATAATTAATCTTAATGAAAATATAAAATTTATTGAATTATTAGTTACATTTGACATGTAGCGTGCATTCTCTATTGCCGCGTTTGGTTGAGGGATTTGGAGAGAAATTTGGAAAGGGAAAGGGAAAAAGTGTGAAACTAGGTGAAATGTAGGTATATTTTATTCACATTTTACTTAACTTTTTCCTTTCCCTTTCTATTTCCAAATCCCTCTTTAAATCCCCCAACCAAACACAATGTATGTGTTTCTTTACTATTGGTTGGTGATATCACATGTTAATGATAACGTGGTATAACTATTATATTAAATTTTTACGCATATTTTGTATAAAAAAATTACTTTATCATTATATATTTTATTTTAAAACTTTATATCCATAACTTTTTTTAATATTGTCCATGATACACTAATTACAAATAATATTTAGCTTATTTGGTTCTAGTTTTCAAAAAATAATTTTCAAAAAATTCAATATTTTTATTTTCCGTATTTTAATGTTTTCAATAAAAAAATTTAATATTTTAAGCAAATTTTTTTAATTTTTAGACACACCTAACATAAATATACCTAAAAAATATAATATTTATGAAAAAAAACTTTAAAAAATACACTAAATACCAAAAAATATAAAAATAATATGAAAATTCGGTACATTTTTTTATATTTTTGTGTATTTATTAATTTTTTAAAATATTTTTTCACAAATATTTTATTATTTGAATACATATCTAAGTAATGTGCATCTAAAAAAATTGTTTAAAATTTAAAAAATATTCACTAAAATCAAAAAAAAATTGAAAAATAAAAAACTTAGTTTTCAGAAAACTAAAACCAAATTTTTTTTTTTATCTTTCTTGAAGTTAATGGTAAAAATTTATGTTAAATATTTTTATAAAAAAAAATTAATATTGTAATTAATAAGTGCCCCCTCTGATTTAATTTCTTAACTCCACCACTGATTACACTTAACTTTTTTCTAGCTTCATCATCTTTAATTAGATTGTGTTTGAATCTTGAAATTGATTCCTTCCTCAAACACCCTTACTACTATCATATAATTGGAGAGAAAATAAAAGAAAAATGAGTCTTCGTTCTCAAATTACTTACTTGGACTGTTTAATTAGAGAGAAATGGAGAGGAATTAAGAAAAAGGGAGAGAAAATTTATTTAAAATTCACCCTTTGACTATTTCCAAAATTAGAGATGAAAAAAGAATTTAGTTAGTAGTAGTCACTTTTGGGAGCTTCAATTTACCCATAAAAAAAAAAAAAAAAAAAAAAAAAAAAAAAAAAAAACTCCTTACACTCTTTATTTTTCTTTTTCTAATTACAATTTTATCCCTATTTGCGTACCCCTAACCTGGCCTCATCCCCTACTGCAAATCCCCAACTTGGCCCCCTTCTTTTTCTCAAACTCTTTTCCATCCCCTCTATTGCGACCCCATTCCCCATGGTGGAGCCCTGACCTAGCCACTCTCCATTGCTGTGAACGCTTACCTACCTCTCCATCTCGACCCCTCTTCTATATTGCACTAACCTAACCACCCTCTCCCTTACAAGCTAGGGGTACTCAAGGGCCCAAGCAATTTGCCAAAACCGACCTAATCCATCCGCTTTTAAGCGGTTTTGATGGTATGGATAGATGGATGCAAATGAAGACTTTCCAAATCTACCAACCCCCTGAAGAAAATGATGTTATGTTTTTTATGTTTTGTATGTTAAAAGAATGACATTTTATTTAGTAATAATATTAAGTATTTATGAAATATAAAAGTTTTCCCTTTATTTTAATTATAAAAAATGAATAAAAAAAAATATACTCAAATAATGCCCCAAATAATAAAAATATTACTCTAAAATAGTTCCAAAAGAAAAAAACAATAAAATCTAAACCGTCAAATAAATCCACATCCACTTGCCAATCTACACAGCTTGCTCAATCTACATCCACTAACTACACGGATGAATGAGGATTGATTTTTTCCAATCCACACAAGTTCAGATGGATTGTGGATAGGAGGTCATCTGACTCAACCCGATATGCGAGCACTATGAGAGAGGAGTAAGAGATATAGGGTGGAAGGTGAAGTGGTTGTAATGGTAGCGATGGAAGCAGAGGCATTAGTGATAAGGAAGGAGGAGCGGAGAGGAGATTTGCCGGAGAATGAGGAGGCGGCAGCTACTAAAGTTAGGATTAGGGTTAGTGGGGTGGGGTGTGGATTGAGAAATTAGTGTGAAGATTAAAAATATAATTGAATAAAATGATAAAAAAAATGTAATAAAAAATGAAAAATTTAGCCAAAACCCCTCTATTGGACCATTGTTTGGTGAAAATGACAGTCCAATTTATTTTACTTCATAAACCCTTTAAGGAGAAAATACATAATTGAGTAACACAAAGTAAAATATTTTTTTTTTTAGACAATATTGTCAGAGTAATATATTATTGTGAACTAGAGTAACATGTTACTGTTACTGTTTATATCAATTTCGACGGTAATAATTTTTTTTTTTTTAAAGAATTTCATAATCATCATGGATCTTATTTATAGATCTTGATGAGAGAATTCTAAAAATACTAATTTTATTAAAAATTGGCATCTATATCAAAAGTTATATTATTTTAAAGGTTAATATTTTGATAATAATAATATGTATTGGAATTTTTAAGGAAAATTTTTTATAATTGTCCTTAATGCATTAAAATTTTATTATGAGGGGTTTTGATCAAATCCCCTTAAAAAAAATTTAGGAAAATAGTGTATGGTGAAAGAATTGATAGTGTGTAAACAGAATTTGAGCAAATTTCATTTTTGCCTCTATACTTTTACACGATTTTCAAGTACATCCGCAGACTTTGAATAATTTTAATTTTACCTCCAAAATTTTTTGAAATCGTATCAATTTTGCCCCTATCGTCACATTTGAAATAGAAAAAATTAAAAAAATTACATTTTGACCCCAAATTTCAAAATAAATATGCGAACTCACCTTGTCTTCTTCTCTCTCACCATTCCCTGAATTACCCAAATCCTTCTGTCATCCTTCTCCTCCCTTATTCGTTGTCATCTTCCCTACCACCACCAAGAAGCCCTTTAAAATTGAGAACCGGGTTATATTTTCATGTAACATTCAACTCATTTGCCATGAAAACTCCCAAAATGATGCCTTTAACTCATAAGCTATGGTTATGGAAAATTGAGAATTAGGTTGCATTTGAACCTGAACATACCAGTGCCGGTGGTGACCGAGCTTAAAACTAGTACGTTGCCTTCTAACTCTCCATTGATGCAACAATCCAATGAGAGTATAGCACACCCCAGAGATGGGAAA